AGGAAGGAAGGAAGGAAGGAAGGAAGGAAGAAACTACTTAGGCATCATGTCATCAGCACAAACAATATTTGTCCTACTAGGACAGCTTTAGGAGCCCTGACTGCCATAAGAAAACCAAATCCTACACAAAACGTAACCCAGGTCCTATGTAGCATTAACTCCTTTGTGTTTGGGGGCTGATTGCATTTGTGGAATCCCATGGACTGTGGCCCTGCCTTCTTGGGAACAAAAGCATTGAGTGATAAGAATGGGAATGGGAGCATTGGAACATTCCACTGAGGGCCTAGGAGAAGACCACTGGTCTAGCGGGGAGGCTGTGAGAAAGGAAGATAAAAAGAAATTTAAAAGCCTCACTTTTATGAATATGTTTAATTCTTTTTAACTTAAAAAATATACCAAGCCATAAGCCATGTTTCAACGCAGGAAGCCTTCATGTTCAATTTTTAAAACAAAGCTGTCTATTTAATATCATGGAATTAAAACATTTGCATACGTTTTATTAAGTGTTTATTTTTTCCTACAAAAAAAAAAGCAAAAAATAAACAAAAAGTACATACAGCCCACATTGGACTGGAAAAAAAGTCAGTCATGAATTTTTTCCCCCTATGGTATGATACTTTTTTCTGCATCCTAGAAAACACTGATTTAAAAAATAAATTTTTACAATTGATTCTGCGCGTTCCAACTACTCCAAGTACTCCACCTTACAGTGCAACCCAAGACAAGTCAACTACACTAAGGATTTGGGAGGTATACCCTTCTGTACAGCTCGTTTGTAAGCAATGCAAGTGCATAACCACTACTCTAATATAGTGCTCAAAAGATTAATTGAAACTTTCATCACATCTTCCCCTCTTACAACAATACAACTGAAGGTAATTGCTGGATGCATCAGAATCTCTTAATCTCATAAAAGTTGGTATCAAGTCTCTATGGAAGATGCATGGCAACACATGCCACTGCTGTCACTGCTTCTAGAAACAACTGGCAAAAAATATTTAAAGCTAAAATTTATTGCTCCAGATTTAACTCGCAGAACCATACTGTTGTGTACAAACTGTTAATCTCCATAGATGCTCAGACATGATTGTCTCCTTGTGTCTAAACACACAAAATACAAGCTGCTATCTGTACAGTTTACAGTACTGAAACACATATATTTGAAAATGAAGTATAGATATGTACTTTGCAAAGATACATGATTTTACAGCAGGGGCTTACCCAAACTTATTTTTTTACAGCCACTTTCAAAATAGACAACAACTTCACTAGTATAGCTAAATTACATCAAAGAAAGAATCAATGTATTGAAAGTAAATAGACTGGCCAATTCCCCAAGCTCCCAGATTATTTTTATACGTCTTTTTTCTTTCCTTTTCCTTTTTTTTTTTGAAGAAACCCCTATACATAAAATGAAAATAATATCTGGATATTGTCTTCAGTGGCGGACTAAGCAGTTTCTTAAAACAAGACATTAGTTTGCCCTTCACTTCCAAATGCCTTGAAAATAAGATATACTACTGCTTTAAAAGAACCATCGAAATGCTTCAGCGCTGGGAACAGGTGTTCTCTAAAAAAAAAGAGCAAGAAAACAAGTTAAGCTTTCTTTGTATGCCAATATACAGTTAGATTTTTCTCCTTTATACTTCAGCAATACTTTTAGTCAGCAATACACAACATAATGACGTGTATGTTTCAACATTTAATAAAAAAGAAATGTTCAATCTTAGAAGACTATGAAAATTAGAATATTAAATTAATGGCTAATTTACTGAATATGATTAAAACACACTGGTCTAAAAAAAATACAGGAAACACAGCCTAAAACATGGATCACATCAGAATAAAGGGAAAGGTTCAAGCTATTAAACAACAGTAAGAAGACCAGCCACCAAGTGTACTTAAAATCTGTATCTATCATGTACACATGCATCCTTTGTAAGGCTGATGTTTAGAATTCAGTGTAATACTTTTTTTATTCTGGATAATTTCTTTTAAGACAGGAAAACAACAAATTTTACAATGACATTATCTCTATCATTCAACAACTACTAATACTAAACACTCCTATGTATAATTTAATGAGAACTATAATGACAAAATGTCCTACTATTTTAAAATAAGTCTGTATTTTCAACAAATTAATGTCATATAAATGAAACAAACTTACACTAGCCAATGATACTCAATGGAGCACAAGTATCATTTTGCACCATAAAAATACCATAGTTTTCCCAAGGATTAATAACTAGCACCAAAAGTCTGAGCAATCCTTTTAACAAAAAGCTTGAAGTTACTTCAGGGATTTTTGTTAGATAGATAGTAGTTAAGCTATTGGATTTTCCTCTGTATATTAGCATTACTGTAATTCATCATGCCATACTCTTCTTTATAAAACACAATCACATGAATACATATTGAAGGTACAAAAGAAATAACAAGCTACATTTACGTAGAAGAACAAATGAAAGAAAGTTGATTTTATCCCTTATACTGGCACAAGTTGAGTAGACAGTAAGATGGCTGCTAATGATAAATAAATACATAAATTGTTGAATGACCAAAATACTGAGTAGGTTTAGAGAAACACATATATGCACACACACACACCACACAGATATACACCTCTTACAAACCCATTTTAAGACAGTTTAAACAGCACTTGAATTTCATGTTTTACAAAACACATGAAAAGTTCTACAAACACTCTTTAATAGTCGAGACTAGCTTTTATTTACTTTCTCACATATGTCTTATTTGGTTGACACAGTCCTACTGTAGTAATGCCATCTAAAAAGTATATTAAGTGATTTAACTGTCAATTGAAATTTAAATGGGAAAAAAACATTCTGGAAAGCAAAGCTACTTTTCACTATCTGTACTAAAAAGAATTTAAAAATCATCCTCTCAGTCAGTACAAATTTCAAAATCCACATGTTAAGTATGAAGTAATAGCACCTAACTCAAGTTTGTGTAGATGTATATACAAAGACAGTTAACTTGTATTCTCTAAAAACATAAACACACAGATAAGTGATTCCCATAAAAATAGTGCTTATTAATATTTTACTTCTTCTAAATCCTCATAGTTTAATATGTTTTCTTTTCTCCAACTCACTATCTATACCTGGATCTCCATCATTTGATTTGGTTGGTTGGTGAGAAAAACCCTCCCTAAAATTAACTTTTGAATGGTAGATATAATTATATGTGCTCATTAATCATTTATTTAATCATTATTAAAGTAACTATATGAATAAAAAACATTATTCAAATATGCATGTTTTACACACATACACACACACACACACACAAGCAGTAAATTAAAACTGAGGTTTATACCAGATGCTAACTTGCTATCTGATGCCAACTAAGAATAAGTTTTATGTAAGTATGCATACTTATATAAATGCAGTCATTTTTAACAAGATAAATTAGATCCAAGCATATCCATGTAATTAGATTCACATATGAAAAATAAACATGTGCATATATATTATATATATTAACATTTATGTGCATAGTATATGACATAGAGATGCCAATTTACTATCAGATGCCAACTGGAAACAAGACTGTAAGTATATACTTATATAATCTTGTATCTTGACAAACATCTATGTTGATGAAGATAAACAGAAAAAATGTATGGAGTACATTTTTTAAATGAGAGGAACTCCTTATGTCTTAGATACATTTTTCAATCTCTTTTCCAACTTTTTGCTCCTCCTGTGCCTTTCACACTACTCAATTTTATGTGCAATATTTAGAAAAAGCAAGGCTCTAAAATGCCATCTGAGATCAAAGGTCACTGTTGTGAGAAAAAGATAATCAGTAAAAAGATAATCACTTCCCAATGGTTGTTAGCACTAAAAATTAATTAGATAATGCAAGTATGACACAAGCTGAGAGCTGGTTTCCTTTACTAATAGGACCTATCACAAAATACAATGGTGTGTACTTGTTACTATGCATAACTTGAGACGAGTATGCATCTCTATATATAAGGATGCAGACAATCCACTGATGCAGGGGAAGGAGGAAGACAAGCAGGGAGGCCTCTTTTAACAATTATTCTCCCTTATATTAAGATTTTTGAGGTCACGAAGTCTAAAAACCATTAGTTGGGAAATCACCTAAGATGTATGAGAAAACTTAGGAAAACTGCTGATGCATTAAGTCAAACAAATTATCAAGGCATTCACCAGAAACTTGAAGTGAGGTTTCATTAAGTTTTATTTCAGGGTTATAAAAGCAACAAAACTCCTTAGTTTTCCACAGGCTACTCCAAATGGAAGGTGTATGTCCAGCGTCCTGCCTGATTTTCACTGGGCTCATTGGAAATTTACTTTAGGCCTGGACTGAGTTCTTTCCACCGAAGACAGTTGAAGCAATACATTTTCATATGTAAAATACTGGGTTAATTTATAGCTTTTTTATTCTTTACTAATTTGGGGGCATATATTCTTGGTCAACTAATGAGATCATCTTTGTAAGGGAACTTTGTTTTAAATGGTGTGGAGGTTAGCACACCAATGAGGGGGATTACGCACGCTGACCAGCTGCCTTGGGTTATAACAATTCAAGAGTCCCAGCTGGAGAATCACATTACTGATGAGTTTACAGTGACTTTCTGGATCTCAGTGATGTTTGCAGGAAATCGTTATCCTGAGTGACAAGAAGGCCAGATTCCCTAGGAAGAAACGGGGCGTGGAGGTGAAGAACAGAATTGAGCTGATCAGCGTTGTTTCAGGCAGCCTTCACTGCTCATGCAGGTGCGAGCATGACAAACAGCAGCCCTGCTCCCAGGAGGCCTGCGGAGCAACCAGAGCCCCCAGTCCTCCTTCCTGTACTGCTGTGAAGTGTGGTGTTCCACAGGATTCATCCTTACAGGAGCCAGATTCAAGCTTAAAGGAATGCCTTATTTTTCCCTTATAAATAACTTTTAAAATCAAGGGTATTTCTTTGAATAAAAGAATGATATAATCCAAGTCCAAGTACATTTTACATTTACAAGAAATAATGAATGCAGAAAGAATCGCTGTATCTCTGGCAGAAATGTATTACAGTTTGATTTTCATTAAATCATCAATAGGGAAATAATTTCAACACCTAAAATACATAAGAAACCCAAAAGCTACCATCCTACAAATTTGAGCATAACTTTCTCTTTTTTGGTGTCTGCTAAGTGGTTATGTGTACTGTAGTGTCTTCTGGTTGAGCATGCATCTATATACACTTGTTTAAAATACATCAAGTCTGATAAAAATTCACCTTCTAGCAGCTGAAAATGGGGTATCCGTATCGCTCTACATATGAAGATATATGGGATCGGCTATTCATGTCTAGGACAATATATAAAATGAAGCAGCATTCAGGACACTAAACACAACTAATCATTTTTAATAAAGCTAGACATGAGTTTTTAAAGTGCAAATTAAAACAACTAGATGCTGAAATTTACTTCAGAATGCATAAAGTTATAAATTGAGGTAATAATTATGACAGCGAATTCTATAAATAAAGTTAAATATCTTTCCAATATTTATTCATGTACTTTCTAATTCAAATATTTAGTAATTCACATAGGCCTTCAGATTTCTATTATGAAACAGGATGGCTCTAATAAAATGATTTCCAAGCTGAGGTCAGTATGTTGGGGTACCATTATTCTTGTACTAATCAACTAATAATTTCCTGTTTTCCTATTTATTATTAACTAAAGAAATGTAAGTCATCCAACCATTTTCTGATCTCTATATAACTACATGAAATACGCTCTTCCCAACCAAAAGCAAAGCAATTTTGAACTGTGGTTAGTTAATACAGCCTCTTATAAAATCTGTTTTCACTGTGAGGACTCTCACCACAAATTTCTTAACCTTCAAACATCTATAGCCTTGAAGTCGGAACCCCACACTACATTTGATTTATGTCTTGGTACTAGAACTTGAAAACTTTAATGAATCACTGAAATTTTGCAATACAAAGTACATGAAAAAATATGAGAAAAGATAGTAGTAGTCCCATTGTTTGCATTTTGATATTTGATTATATTTTGTTTCAGCTTCATGTGAAACTTTCAAACTTAGGAGTATGTTGGGATAAATAAAAGGAAAAGGATTTCTGATAGTGTAAAAAACTACTTTTTTTCTGATTTGATTCACCAGGAATGCCCAAATATAAAGTTACATAGGTCCTCCATTTTTCTCCTGAAAAAAATCTCTAAACCTTTTTAGAATGGAAAACTGTGTTATAAATATAATACTGTGAATGTGAATATACATACATATGCACATTAATACAAATCTTTAGATAATTAACAATTATGATCTAAAATGATACCTACCAAATGTTCGATACTCCCCAAAATGTTCATAGCAGAAATATTTTCATATCCCATTTACAAATAATAAATTTTAAAAATGACAGTCCAGTAACTATAGAATTATTACAAGCACAGGTATAGCAAAAGTCAGTAAGTCTGAGAGAAGTTATGATAAATGATAATCTCACAGTTTAATAATTTGTTATGATAAAAAACTTAATATTTTAATAATACCGACATTT